ATGCAATCGATTACATGATTGATCGCGCTTTAGACTTTAGACCTTAGACATTTCGCTTGAGACATTAGACAAGAGCGATTCCTCAACGAATTCGAACAATCGAAATATTTTGATTTTTTCGTGAAAATCGACTGAAAAAATTTCCTCCGCTTCGAAATTTTTTAATTTTTCAAACTTTTCAAAAACTTTTCACAATACACTAGCATATTCGATGCTTCAGACATATCAAACAGCTCGTATATGCCATCCGAATTATAAAATATTGCAATTCACGTTGGAATTTCACTGCAAAGACACCTAAATCTTTTCAGGATGCGCGTAAAAAAAGCCTAATCACAACACCGGAATCAAACAAACCAATTCCCCAGATGCGCATAAAAATTTTCACTCCCATAAATAAATGCCCACAGAACACGACCTGCTCTCCAAAACCGAAACAAATACGCCAAATTACCACTGAAATTCCCCACCACATTCCCCAAAAATTTCCCCAATAATTCTGCAGCGCAACGACCGCAAATAAGCTTTCCCTAAAACATTTCCGAAATCGATTCCGGATCACGGCGCAAATAACCCGAAAACAGGACATCTTACTATTTTTATACTACTAAATTACTTTATATTACTTTATAAATTACTTTATACTACTATTAAATTACTTATATACTAAATTATACTACTTTTATAAGTTACCTTTGATTTTTAGTAGTAGTATAATTTGATTGTAGTATAAAAGTTACCTTTGATAGCCTGGCCAATCCAGGTAATCCAGGTAACTTTTATACTACAATCAAATTATACTACTACTAAAAAAGAACATCTCAATACTTTTTCGCAGACTTTAATGAAATTGGCAAATCGTGACGAACGCAAGAGACCAAATAAGGCAATAATTAAAACGATAACGATAATATCATCAACAAATTCGTTTCCACCCTCAAATTATCATACCTTCAAACATTTCAAAATCGAACAAACCAAATCAAAACACACCATTGAGCACTGGTAAATCAACGCCACGATCTGACTCGACGCCACCAGCTGGTCGATGTGATCCGATAGGCCCTCGGCCAGGCCCGACAGCAGATCCAGTGCCACTATCAAGAAGTCCTTATCGGGCATATCGTATTCGGCCGGTCGCTCCACTGCTAACTGCACCTGCTGCAAACACCGCCCTATCAACGCCGTACACCTGCAAATTAATTACTACCTTCTTCTTCCCTATACACTAACAAATAATAATTGTAACAATAATAATAATAATCATAATAACAATACTAACAAATAATAATAACAATAATAATCATAATAATAACAATAATAATAAATAAAAAATAATCATAATAATACGGCTAACAATATTAACCATAATAATAATAATAATAATAATAATAATAATAATACCAAATAATAATCATAATACTAAAAACAACAACAACGATAATAATAACAATCCTCAAATCATCATCCTTCTACTCAATAAAACTCCAAAAATAATACTAACAAATAACAATAAACCAAATAAAATCCTAATTAATCAAAACAATCCCCAATAACCCAAACAAACCACACCACCACCAAAAAAATCACCTTCTAAACACCGGCTCACAAAACGGCAAGAACGACACGTGCAGAGCAGTGGCCACACTCGATAAGCACTCCAGCAACGGAAACAATTCCTTGTCGTCATCCGATAACGATGACCATTTTGCCATCAACGGCTCCATTAGAGTCTCAAATCATTTACTTTCTCTCAACAACTCAATCGAATCAAAATAAAATAATAATTACAATAATAATAATAACAATAATAACGATAATAATAAATAATCAACCCAACACCCCTCACCTGTACATACTGTGGCTGATTCAGATTCGATCCAACACTATCTGCCAGCGTCCCTACTGCATCGTACAATATCAACAGATTCTTTGCCTACAATCATTATAATAGCAATATTACTATTAATAATAATAATGTTAATAATAATAATAATAATAATAATAATAATAA